ATGCCTGGACAGTGTCTGCGAAGCAACCAACATGAATTTTACACAACTCCGGGAGGCAGTGGAAGATAGGAGGGCCTGGCGTGCTCTGGTCCATGGGGTCACGAAGAGTCGGACACGACTAAACGACTAAACGAACGAACGTCCGTTCTTTTGTTTCTGAGAAGAGAGAAATTAACTATTTTATTTTTTAACTGTCTATTTTATTTTATTTACTGACAGAAGAGTAAGCATTATAAAGTTCCAATTTCTATAATGCTTACTCTTCTGTCCATGTGTTTTTCCTGGCTGTTCTTTGGCAGTGCAGCAAACACATCTGTGTTAGGGACACATTTTTTTCGATGAGTTTGGTGGTGGTAGTTGAAGTGACAGAATGAATGTGGGTAAATAAGCCAGCTGTCCAGCCTGGAAACAAAGCAAGGAGGGAAGCAATAACAGGAATGATTGTTTCCAATTTTGTGGCAGAATTCTGAAGTTAGTGGATGGGGTAGAGTGAGGCATATACTGTATGAGTTAATACTTGCCTGAACATCAGTGCATTGGGATACACAGCTCGATGTATCAATGCATATGTATATTACAAATACTCAGTTTTATCCTTGATCTGCCTGTTACTGTGCACCTTGCCCCACCAACCATGCTGGGCATCTTCCGCCACCACTGCCTCCAAACCTGAACACAACCATGGGGAACAACCTAGGAGCAAGAGAAGTTACACAGTTGGTCCTGTAATTCTGGAGTTAAAGGCAATGTCTGGCCCTTCAGATGTTGTTGGACAGCAACTTTTATGAACTGATTGGAATTATGGTCTGACAACATATGGGGGAAGCACCACAGCTCTGAAGTATGAGGCAAACTCAATTCTGTCACTGACTGTACCTGACCTATATTCATGCACCTAATTATGTAAGATATAAGGTGTTGCCTGCTTTTTCTTTCATCATATAGTTTTTTCACTGGTAACATGATACGTCTACTTAATTTGTAGATCAAATGATGTGACCCAGACTTGTAGTGATGGGAGAGCCACTGCCATCAGACTGAGATGTGATCCTCTAAAGACCCAGACTGGAATTCTTTCTGTGCCAAGGTGTGTTTGAGGACTAATCAGATAGTCTTCTCTGTATTCGTTATAAAATTAGATGTAATCTCGTTTTGCCTCAACATCTAAAATGGGGACTGTAACTTACACCTTTTAAGTAATCCAGAGAAAATACAGTATATTTAGTGTGGGTTAGTTGCAATCAGGCACAAACCCACTTGTAATACATACCATTTTTTTTTATTCTGATGTTTTGCCAGATTACCACAGAAGTACAGTGATTGTGGTTTCTTTAAAACCAATTCAGGGAAACAGTCTGATTGCCCCATTAGGTGGATAAAAAAAGGGGTGAGACCATGCCACCTGAAATGTGGTGTATCTGGAAAAAAAAAACAAAGCAGAAAAGAACAGCACTATGGCTGGCATCATGTGATATGCCAAGAGATGCTGTAGATTTGTTCTGTTTTTTTTTCCTCAGGAGTGTAGTTTTGGCTGGGATTTGCTAGATATTGGTGGGCAGGCTGGCTAGGACAGTGGATTAGGTATCTGGCTGTGGAGCCAGAGGTTTGAACTTTTATTCCCCACTCTGCCTCCCAAAAGACAGAAGTAATTGACAGAAGTATGTAGCTGGGGCAAAAAGTAGGCACATTGAGATCTGCTTCCAGCACCACAGGCAGAATTCGCAAGTCTGGTTGGTGAGACTCAGATCTCCGAGAAAATCCTGTTCTGGGAAGAAAACAGGTTAATCTAACGAAATACATATTCTTAGTCTGGTCTCTGTGAATCACACATGTTGGTGTTTCTGTATCAGTGTAAAACCTCATTGGAACCTTCTAGAGTTTCTAGCAAAGCAAAATTATCCAGAACACGGCCAAACAGCCCAGAAAACCGACAACAACCAAAATTATTTTGCTGTTACAACAGTCCCTCTCTTCGCTTTGTATATTCCCACATCCAGTGGTTGCGCCTCAGTTCCTTCTAGCACTTGACTGAACTTCATTGAGCTGTGAGGAGCTTTTAAATCCTTTACTTACCAATTTTCTTTCTCCATGATCTCTTTTTCCTCATCATTGTTCCTGTTGTGAGTCCTAAAAACAAAAATGTTATTCCCATTTCCCCCTCCCCTTACCCCATTAGGTTCTTTAACATCTCTGAGGCCTTTCCACCATTTTAAGGTCCCAGCAGGTCCTTTTATGTGGTATATGGACTGTTTGAATAAAATCTCCCTCACCAATGGCCACTCCAAGTGCCTCTACTCTCTTGGTGAAGAGCACCAGACTCAGACTTGCCCTCACAGGTGAAATTTCACTAAGGCTGCCCTGAAAAATCATCAGTCCTGACTTAAGCTCTTTACAACCATCAGCTCACTCCCTAACCAACCATCCTCCATGCTGTCCTCTTCAGTGTGTAAGACCATCTTCCAAGAAGAGGTTGTATCTGAACGTTCTGAAGAAGCTTCAGATGAGGAAAGACAAAGATCCACTGATGTCTACAACCGAATCATTGCAACTCTGCAATCTCTTTCTAAGACTTGTATGCATAAGTTAAATTGCATCTCGTTACTACAGAGAATTGCTGCTACTTAATGAATCTCAATTTGCATCATTAGGTATATTTGTTGTGCAGACCTATCTATTTGCAGATATTTTCAGTAGTATCAGCACAAGCTATACCATTTGAGGTTTTTTCCACATACTTAAGCAATAGCCCTTCTGCATCAACCTTATCTTTTGTGAATACAGTGGTGCCCCTCTTAATGATTACCTCGTTTACCGATGAAATCGTTTAACAATGCCTTTTTTGCAATAGCGATCACAAAACGATGATTGAATGGGTTTTTTTCGTTTGATGATGATCGGTTCCCTGCTTCAGGAACCAATTTTTTGCTTTACGATGATCAGAAAACAGCTGATCGTCAGGTTTCAAAATGGCCGCCCACTGTTCAAAATTGCTCCCTGCTGTGCTTAGGACGGATTCCTCGCATTACAGGCACCAGAAAATGGCTGCCCTGTGGAGGCTCTTCGCTGGACGCTGAGGTATTTCGCCCATTGAAACGCATTGAGTGGTTTTCAGTGCGTTTCAATGGACTTTTTACTTTTGCTTGACGACGATTTCGTTCTACAGCGATTTTGCTGGAACAGATTAACGTCGTCAAACGAGGCACCACTGTACAGAGGTGTACTGAGGATGTTCAAGTAGAGTAATAGTGATAATATGTTCTGAAGATAGATCCTGTCAGAACCATGGATTTTAACATTTGCTTCTAGGCTCAATAGCAGAGTTGCCACACTGTGATTCATTATCTCATTGACTAAATGATCTTTGATAGTGGGTTTGGGAAAGGAATCACAATGACACCCTTTGCAGCTGGATTTTGATACTTATAAACAGAGTTCAGAAATGTTACATTTTTGGACCACTGCTCTTACGGTCGTCTAGCCAACATGGCCTGGCAAAGTGGGCCACTAATCTACCTCCATTAATTTATGGCTTCTTACTTTTTCCATACAGCAAATGTCCTGATGGAACCTGTGATGGATGCACTTTCCATTTCCTATGGGAGACGGTCGAAGCCTGTCCCCTGTGTTCTAAAGATGATTTCCATGCTATCACCAGTTCCTGTGTTGGAGGGATTCAGGTAGAGATTCAAAATAAATATTTTGAATGTTTTATGGTCTCCAGAGCTTGAGAATCATATAGTTTTACATAAAATTACATGGACATTAAAGTCAGTTTTTCATAACTACTGCTATCAGTTAAATGTATGTAAGTATGGGTGTGGAAACCAAACTGAAAGAGAAAAAATTTTCTACAACTACTGGGATCATTACAATGTGGTCTTCTGGATTATTTCCAGATGGGGGACTCCTAATATTTCCAATCAGAAATCACCTTAAATCTATTCTTTTCCCCCCTTCTTCATGGATGTTTTTTCAATCAGGTAAAAAATTATGAAGAAGCTATGGGAAAACATAGTAGAGTTACAAGTGAAAAAAATTCTGCCCACAAATGTCATTGAACTTGGCATGGCAATAAAGCTTCACCTGGAAGCGCCTATAACCTAATCTTAAACATGTCTACTTGGAATCATAGAATTGTAGGTTTGGAAGGGTCCCCAAGGATAATTTTATCAAATCCTCTGCTGGTTCAGGAATCTGCAACATGTTCTTGACAAAGGCCATCCAGCCTGTGCTTATAAATCATTTCACTGCTGAACAGCTCATACTTTCAGGATAATTTTCCCTTGGCCAGTATCCTGATCAGTATTTACGCCTATGAAACTCCAACTACAGAGGCTGTCACAGTGGTGCAACCAAGTCACATGATCAGGCATGCAACCTTTTCAGATCACTGCAGCATCTTCTGTAATTATAGCTCTGCACATGTAAATATTGAACAGGATACTTGCCCTAATATTTTGTCAAAATCTCCTTTAATCTACGTAATTTGAATCCATTCATTTGGTTCTTATCCCCTTGGAGCAGCACTCTGATACACTGTCTAGTATGCACCCCTGAATTATGGCAAAGAATTCTAAATTGGCACCAAGTTCAGCATCATTTTGGTGCCAAGTCAAAGCATAGGTAATTAGAATCCTTGGTAGTTGAATATCATGGTTTGCACGGGTTTAATGCAATGGTTTTAATGTTTTAATTTTGTGTTTTAAGTTATTTTAAATATCTTGTTTTTTCAAATTGTTTTATACAGCTTTGTTACCCACTCTGAGATCCTGTGATACAGAGTTACAGATGTTTTAAATAAAAAAATATTTCACTGCAATTAGAGTCATGAGAAGCATGAACAACTAGTATGAAACTGTATAGGGAGCATACCTTCTGCCTGTGGCTCAACTGAAGACTCATCTGCTTTTATTTCTATAGAGAACTACATATGTATGGCGGGAACCAAAGCTGTGTGCAGGTGGCATTTTTCTCCCAGAACAAAAAGTCAGCATCTGCAAAACCATGGATTTCTGGTTGAAAGTGGGCATTTCAGCTGGGACTTGTGCTGCTATTTTGCTGACTGTCATGACATGCTATTTCTGGAAGAAAAACCAAAAGTGAGTAGATGCTTCTGTTGCTATCTAGTTCTGAGGATTGTTTCATATTCAAAGTGACACAATAACTTTTCCTAGTTTGCTATTTAGGCCAGGTGAGAGTCTTCAAAAGCATAGCAGACATAATGGAAGCCCCAAATCAGTGTTCAAAAAGCAGCATCTCTTTTTGCTATACATGGTGAAACTGGTGAAAGCGGCTACCTTTTTGAAAATTATGTATTGAGTAACACACATCAAATTTTATACCAGAACTTGAGAAGTTTCTTTTTTGAATAAATGCTCAGATTCCTGTTGGCCACATTGCCTGGGCAATTCTGGAAGCTGTAATATAAAAAAGTAACTTCTACAAGTTTTGCAAAAAAAAAAAA